GTAACTGCGATTAGTTGCATTTTAACTGATGATAACTGCATTATGTCGCGAGCCGGCCGCTCACTAAAGCCGTGTAAATCCTTAGTATAATAGGCAACAACCAAAGAATAATCAGGCAATCCCAGTTGCTCTTACAAAACCCGGGTTAAGCCAGTCAACTCTCTCTAATTCCAGTCAAGCTCAAAGTAATCTCAGTTACTTTTTTCTCTAGGGAAGCACCGTTATAATGCCGTCATTTTTATTTTTTCAGAAATTCTCATGCATTGTTGTTGCTTTTTGTTTGGTTCTGTTTCTTGAAAGACGAGAGAGTCAGAATGAGACATTTTCCACCTCACTTCCGCGTGTTTCTTTATTTTACCCTCTGCCCTTGGGCGAATGTGGCACATTGGTTGCAGCTGGTGCTGCTGTTCTTGTTGTAGTACGTCTCGCTCTAGAGGCGCGCGCGACAGCTTTGAAATACAGTCGAGTCTCGCGCCGGCCCGGCACCCGGCCTGTCCCGGCTGGGCCGGGGGATGTGAGGGCTGCGAGGCGGACCGAGGCGTCACGGCGCGATGAGGTCTAATTCCGGCCGTACCTCCCCCCCCCTCCCCTCTCCTCTCTCCTCCCCTCTCCCCCCTTTCTTCTCTCCCTCTTCCCTCTCTCTCTTCTCCCTCAGACCATTCTCACCACCCCTCCCCTCCTCCCTTTTTTCCAAGTCGGTGCAGTGCGGAATGGGGCCTATATAACCGACTTGTGCTCTCGCCAAGAATTAAGCGGCCTGAATAGCAACGGTCGTTTGTCGTTCTCGCAATCTTATTATGAGCAGCAAGGGGAGAAAAAAAATGGGAAGGAAACGATGGCGTTGGCCTTCGACACCCTCCGCTGGCCAGCTGTAGCGAGCAGGAGCAGGCGTTGTTTGTGGACGCTTTGCTTTATGTGCTTTGCATTACATTTTTTATTTTGACAGCAACAATAAGATGTGAGAGATGTGCAATAATTAAATCGGGGGGTTATGCATTCGAAAAATTCCAGTTGTCGTGTTAATTCGGCTTTCGGCGATTCTTTTAAATAGAAGGATTTCGCATTTAAGTTATGCCTTCCCGTTTCTCACTGTTTTACACGCGTGTATGTCTCTTTGCAGGGGCCCAGGTTCGCCGGCAGGAGGACGCCTGCCTACCGGCCAACTTCGATCGCACCACGCTGCCTTTCACCACCCTCGTCAGTGAGTATCGCAATGCATGTGTGCCCCTCTTGGGGGGGAGGGGAGATCGAGTAATTGACACGAAGTACTAGTTAGCGCCCCTAAAATCAGCTGTCGCTACGCACTGATATTAAAGTTATTTTTAGTTCAAATTTTTGCTGAAATATTTTATGAAAATTTGTTAGAAAAGATTCTATGGAAATCGGCGTAAATGTTTTATATTAAGTCCATGAACGCATTTATAAAAGCGCACATGCCATCTACGCATTAATTAAAGTACATATGCTATGTACACTTTTTAATTGACAGAGTAATTTGTAACATTTTCTACTTTATCAAACGGAACTTTCCATTGTACACTGAAAAAAGAATCAATCTCTTTCTACAACTAGATTTAACACCAATGAAAGATGTTGTCCGACGCTATACGTTTAATCTGCGTTACGCGCCCCCCTGTCCCCTGGGTCGAGTCGAGCCGCGGGCCGTCGCCACTGCCATCAGCTGCGGCGGGCGCGCGTGGGCTGGGCGGCTCGGCCGCTTGGGGCGCGCCAGTCATTTGCGAGTCTCATCCTCGTCCTATAAATCACGAAAATGCCATTTTTTTCAACCCCCCCGCCGCCGCGCCCTGCCTGTCTCTGTCCCTCACACTCTGTTTTGTACTGCCCGCCTCTCTCTCTAGACAGCCACGCAGCGCCGGCGCCATAATGGAATCAAAAGCTGATCAATTCATTAAAGCAGCCTCTGCTTTTAGCTCGACGGATTGTGGATGGAGTCTCCGCTGGCAGCCGTCACCTGGCGGGCCCACCGTGCCGAGGCATTCATTGTGTGGTGCCGGAAGGCTCGTTGATGGATCGCATTTTTACTCATTTCACCGCAAATTGCAGCGGCGGCGGCGGCGGTGGCGACAGCATACTGCGTCACCGCGGGGCGGGGCGGGGCGGGCGCGTCAGAGGCAGACTGGAAACCGTTGTGACGTGGCGGGCCGCCGCCTCGGCGCCACGAGGGCGGCGTCCGTCCGTCCGTCCGTCCAAGCGTAATGCTATTATGCGTAAAGATGGGGCACATACTGTAGACGGAACCGTTATTCTTCGTACGCACTCCTGAAAACCCAAAAGAAGCCACATGACATTGACAAAAAGCGCTAAAACTTAAGCATCGCTGCAAGTTTTGGTCGTATGCTTGCTTCCCTGGTCGCTCCAATTTTGTTTTGTTTTGGTAAAGACTTCTGCTTGTTTGATGTTTGCTTTGTCGGGTGGTTTGGTCGATGCATATGTGAAGGCTTTTCGATCGTCTTCGCTCCTTACTGTCAGAGGCGTCGTGTTATGTGGCACCCCCGTCGTTTGTCCCCTTGTCCCGAGTTTGTATGTACTTATTCCATACTGTGGACTCTATACGGCAAATCCGGAATCGTGCACTTTTTCCTGTTGCGTAAAAACGGAACGTATAGCGCACTCGGCAAACTTTACGTCGTTGCGTTCTACGTGAAAAAAAAAAGATTATAATCAAACAGAAAAAAGTATCGATCCAGGGACTTTTATTATCAATGCCAGTATTTTCCCTCTGAATATCAGCCGGGCCAGTAGTTGTATTTTTGCACGTTTTGTGTCGTCGTGCGGTCTAATGGCGCGCGGCGCCCATGCATTGCTATGCAGCGGTTGTATCTTTGTGCGCTTTACAAGCTCCGCCAAATGGATCGGGGCAGAAAGGGGGGAGGATGCGTGCCGCGCGGGATTAGCGCGGCTCTCTGCGTAATTAATATTTTCATTCCGGTCGAGTCGGGTACTTTGCTTTTACAAACACAGCAAGGCCTCGGCTGCTGCTCCCCAGCCGGGGGATGTTTTGATTTGGCTGTGATTCGTGCCCTGCGCGCGGAAGTCGGTGCGGTATTGGTGTTTTCTCTCTTCATAATTTTTTTTCTCTATGCCGCCCACCTGCCTTTTTAAATCTGATGCGTGCTTCATTCTGCGCGTACCTGGCACGCCTCTCTGGGTCTCCGGCCGCCTGCGACTGTCGCATCAAAACCGTCACCCGCCGCGACTTCGCCCCTACTTGAGGATGTGAAGGTTGAAACTAAACCTCGTTTAAACCGGCGTCATGCACTCAACTGCCGGATGAAAGCTGGCATTCGCCTGGTGGCGTGGCGGTGTGCAAAGAGGTCGAGTCGGCGGGGACATGTCCCTTGTCACACGAGCTTGCCGTCGGCGCGGGACTGTCGGCCCCGGGGAGCGCCCGGCGGGGTAGGCAAGCGGCTGCGCCGAGAGCGCTCCGGTGCGCGGCGGGTCTGCCGAGCCCCGCGTCGTCAGGGGCCAGGACCCGGAAGACAGACAGCGGCAGTGGCTCTCGGCGCTCGCTGCGCTCGCAGGCCAGGAGAGCCGGGGCTAATCCAGGGGGTGTCTGCCCGTCCGCGATAGCGGAGCCGACGCTGGGAGAGAGAGAGAGAGAGAGAGAGAGAGAGAGAGAGAGAGTTGGTGGACAAGAATCCTCTCGTGCCTGCGCCGTCTGTGTTGGCTTGTGGAGGACTAGCCTGGGCTCGGCTGAGGGCTCGGCGCGGGACTGGCCGGGCCGGCGCCCTACAAGGGCTTGTTACACAGGTTGCGAAAGGAAAGAGGTGTCACCCTTGTGACACGGGCCGGGGACGGCGGTGGCGTTGGAGGGCTGCGAGTAGACACAGCGACAAAGTCAAAGAGTTGTACCAAATAAGACGTCTGTTCGACTGAAAAACAATTTCGACCAAACTTTGGTCGTACAAAATTTAAAAGTATTTTTGGCTTCATCATAATGACCAAAATACCAATTTATGCAAACAATTCTGGGTCCTATATCTATAGATAATTTGGAATGAAGAGTGTGTATATGGGTTCGTTTTGCCCGATGTGATCTGGATCCTTCTTTTCCTCCGAGGAGTTCGCACCCGTCGCTGACCCACTCGCTGCTTGACGTTTCATTATGGTGTGTTCTTTTTAGGCCCCCGATGAGGGGTGCCTATTGCTTTCGCCCGAAAGTTTTGTCTTTTTATTCTTGACGATGGCCCCTTATGGCACAGCCGATCGTGCCTAAGCGAATTTAATGAAATTTGAATGAAAAATACTACAGAAAATTAGGAATTTTTTGAGGTATGTGTAATGCAATTTTGTCTGATGAAATTTGAGAAATTTGAGTTTGCATCCACGCGTTTCCATGGAAATGACGAGCTGAGCAGCAGGCCGAGTCGAGCCAGGTAAATTTCGGCCAATCACAAATTTGCGCGGGGAAGTTCGACCAATGGAATCGATCGCCTGTTGCTTTGTACAACCCTACCCAAAAACGATTTGGCCCTGGCGTCGATTCGGTGGTCGCGTTTAAATAATACTATCGTGCCTCTGTGTATGAAGATGCAACACAGACGCCGTTTTGAACGCGGCCGCTGAGCGCCAGCCACGGCTTTGATTGTTGGCTGGGAGTGTAGTTCCGCCTTGTAACACGGAAAAAAAAAGTTAGTTGTTTTGACTAATGCCTTAGCTGCATAGCGGTTAACGAACCTGTTAGTTGTGTGGGCTAATCTGTGTTAGTGGCTACAGCCCACGACAAACGGCGGTCGTCTTTTATTGTAGCAGCTCACCAGATCCGTCGTACTGACTAAGGCGATAAGTTAGCTCTGCCAAAACTTTCGTGTTCCCGTATCTGACGGATTTGAGATGAACTAAGAAAGACAATTCTTTCTGCCGTCTGACATCATATGGTTGCATCACCAAAGTTTATTAGTTCATGCTCTCAGTTGTTTTAGTAGCAGCTATTAAATATCTCAATTTCCTCAGCTAATAGTGGATGTCAGTAGAATTAAAGTCTTTAAAATAGTGTGTGGATTTTTTAGGAATAAAAAGTTTAGCAAAGTGATTCATTAGAAAATCTTATTTATTCCCATGATTGCAAACATAACAGGGTGCATATGCACAAATGTATTCTAAATACAATAAATAACAATATCAAAACAATACAGTAATCTTAAGATAAGGTAACATTTAAACATCATGTAACAAACTATGTGTTTTGGTGAGGACATCTTTCAAACATGATGAAACACAAAATTTACCTTTACATTAACTATTAAACATAACGTCTAAATTATTACGATTACATATCTGATAAGGCATTTATGTAGTTTGTAGACAAAATAATTCAAAGAGCATGTCTTAAAACTACATACTTTTTACAGTCAACAGAAAAGTGAATGCTCAATGGCAAAGGTTCCAAAATTTTAGAGGGGGAAACATGTCCATAATTATCAGTGCTCTCCACCTCATAAGCATGGAGGTGTTCATCAAAACCCTGGCATAAAAGGTAGGAAAAAATAAAAACAAACTCAGTTTCATTTGTGAGAAGGATGGACTCAATTATGCCAAATCTAGGACATCCGCCTTGATTTACATCCAAGATAAGGACCATTCCAGGTTTGTACTTAAACCTTTTATACTCTACCCAGTTACACTCCAAACAAGATTGAGAGAAATAACAATTTGGGAGAGGATCAACAAAATGTTTGTTTTGAAAGTCTTTCAAGAACACTTCAGAACAAGGCCCATATATTGTTTCAGGTAAAAGAAATTTTCTGGATTTTAACTTGTGGCACCAAGTAAGTTGGTGAGAAACAGCAACTGTCTTCTCAATATATCTTCGGGATTGAGTAGCATGTGCTGGAATGGTGAGTGACCGGTGTTTTCTTTCAAAGTGTTTTGTTGAGGTTAAAGAAACTGGTCCACTTTCATCTAAAATCCTAGGATAATGAACCAAATTGTGAAATTTTGATTTTAAAGTGTCATTAGTTACCTCTGTATACATAGTATTGAATTCTTCTACAAGAACCTTAAATGAGGCTGACTGGTGACAAGACAAACTTGGAGACAAAACAATATCCAACAATTCGCGCAGTTTTAAGTACAATTTCCAAAATTCATCTTCATGTGGAACCTTGTCCCCAATTAAAATGCCAAACATTTTAACAAATAGAAGAGTTTCAGAGCCTGACATTTTTAGTTTTTTGCGTTTACAAGTTTCATCAGACAACAGGGGAAACTTATTTGAGTCACAAGGTCCAAATTTAAAAAACTCCATTCTATGGTTCAATAGGCCCAGAGAAAAATACCTTGGATCACCACCTGGATAGGGAGCTTTAGTACAGTGTTTCAATACATGAATCAATACGTAGTGGCAAATTCCTTCATTAAAATCATGGAAAATATCCACCGAATAATTCTCCGTAATGTGGAAAGAAGGTAAACTGTTCAAAGCACAATTTTTCTTAACTCCTGTTAGTTCAACATTGTTAACAGCTAAATCTTCTTCATAATTTTCTTTGGTTCTCAAGGACTCTGCATTTTCAACAGACTGTGTATTAGCAACAGTTTTGTGAGTTTTGCAAAAGCGACAATAATAACCCGCTGAAAAAGATTCAGCAAAACCACCAACTGAGTTCAAACCCATGTTATCTCCCAACAAAAGGCTACTAACAAAGAACACCTTTTTTGGACCATCAGGAGTCTCAACAATAATTCCATTTTCTTCAAGAGCTTTCAGTTGAGAAATCAGAGGCCCAAAAGCTTTATCGTCAGAGAAGCAACGATAATCGGGGTTAAACACAAGAGCCAAAAATATATCATCAGTGCTAGCACAACATTCTGGAGGCAAACATGGAATTTGCACATATGCACCCCCTAATTTTCCACAGTGCGAACCAAGAGGGTTATTCACCTGAAATTCATCATAATAACTGTGAAGAGGCAGTACAATAGCATCATCTGGGAATTTTTCACGTCTTCTTTTCCAGAGCTTGCATTGCATGAAATTTTGGATGCTGTCATTCTCACTCTTTAAAGTCTCAACATAATTTAAAATGTCAGACAGTGCATTTGGAATTTCTAGATACTGCTTCAAAATCTTATCAAGAGGGACACTTTCCCCACAACACTTCTGTTTCTTCAAAATAGGACCGCTTGCAGAGTCAACAAATATATCTATTTCACCTATTTCGTATGAAACTGGGGGAATGTAATCACCATTTTCCATAAAATATTTGAAGCGTAGATATTCTGAAGAGACATGCTTGAAGGGTTTTTCAAATGGAGTAAAAATGTTACCAATTGCAGAAATGTTTCCATCTTCAATACACTTCATTACACTAGTTCTCAAATTTGGAATGAGACCATCAGAAATAAATGTAGAGACATCTGTGATTATGTTTTGAACAAACTGGCGTGGTAGTCTGGGTTTTCCATAGAGACTGCTGACAAAAGCATCAGCATTCCCACGCATGGACAACACACATTCTTTGATGCTTGGTAATTCACAACTCTTCTCAGGTTCAACTGTGACTATGTTCACATCCACATCAGGATCAGCAATACTTTCAATACTTGGATAACTAGACGATGAAGGCTGAGCAGTATCAACTCTTGTGTTTGGAGAAGAAACTACAGAATTTTTTCCTCGACATTTTGATATATGAGTTTTGAGAGTACCCCAGCAAGATGAATTGGAATAACTTCTTTGGCAGTTGGGTACAGGACACACACATCCTTTCGATGGGTGAGTAAGAGCACAGTGGAGTTGGTAGGCTTTGAAGTCTTTTAACGAACGATCACAGTGCACACACTTCATTTTCTAATGTTTATTGCTGTACAATTGGAAGTCTTTCAGACGACCAGCAACATGAGTTCGAAGATTGGTGTCCTTGTCAAAGTCCTTTGGTGTTGTCAGATTGTAGAGAGTTCTCTGAAGAAAGAGAAATATATGCCTGGATTCGACAGGATACAGAGCCCCCAATCCAAAGGAGATCTTGAAAGCAGCCTCCAAAGCCTCGAAGGGGCTTGCAACTTCCCACCGAAAGTTGTCTAATACGATGAAGCTTTGTCGAATGTTGCCTTCTTTACCCAACACAATAGGTACGGCCTGCAGTTGGTAATAGTATTGTGCTAGTTTCGCTCTCCTCTCGGTAAGCTTTTCATCTATTTCAGCAATAGACTGTAAAGAAAGAAGAAACACGTTGAAGAGGGTGCAAATAAAATGCCAGAAATATAAAAATACTGACGGAACACTTACATTGACATTTAGGCACAAGGAATCAGTAATCTCCTGGAAACTAGCCCTCCAGATATCTTTGGAGCTCTTGGGAGCATCAGATGATTTAGGCAATGATCGAATTTTAAAAAGATGTGGTAGCTCCAAAATTATGGCAAGAAACTTACGCTCTGAAAATGTAAATTAAAAAAATGAATGATGGCAAATAGTAATAGTTGACGCAACCCCTCAACAGTAATAAAATATCACATAATCAAGTCTGACATACCAGCACTAAGTGTGGAATACTGCCGTCCCATAAGAAACCTTTTCTTTTCCTGTCTGATTAAAGTAATCAGAAATTTAGAATACTCTTCCCATAAAGTTTGAAGTGAAGTGTCAAAAGCAGGGAATTCTTTAGAACAGTCCAGAGCAATCTGAGATAGAAAAGAAATCATATTAGTTTATCATATGAGTTTAAAAGCAAAATTAAATTAGAATGGGGAATAGTATGAAAAATAAAAAGCAAGGCATACCAGTTTCCAGCCATTGCCTTCTGTGATTGCAGGAAACTTGTTAAGGTAGGGTGAAATACCAATTTCTTTCAAGACTTTTGCTCTTCTCACAGAAGTCAACTCCCACTTTCCCACAACTTCATCCCAAGGCTCTGAATTTTCTAGTAACCACTGATAGTTAACATCATCAGCTTCCTCTCCTAAATCACCTGAAAACAGATAAATGAAAAAAGGATTAGTAAAAAGGCATAGGCAATTGTTTGTTTAAAACAAATCCAATTTAATGTTGTTCATATGCAGCTGAGGGAGTTGAGTTGAAAGTAAGAGTTTTAGGTGGGAAATACCCATTGAAACTTAGAATTTAGCCTGTTTTCACTTATTTAAAACAATCTTAAAAAATGACTAAATTTAGCCCAAGTGAGGTTTCCCTCACTTCTGTCACTCCAACCAATCAAAATCCCTTTTGATTTAAAATTCAAACTGTTCAATATTTTATATTTTAATGAACATAAAATAGGGGCCCAGTATCCAATTGCATGTTCATTTCTCCTTAAAATGTACCCTCAACCAGGTTTCTTAGTCAAATAGTTCCGGAGAAAGTTGCGCGTGAGATGTGAAAGTGGAAATGTCCCAGAAACAAGAAGTCTTCAAACCCAAACAATTTTCAATGATTCTATAAGTCTTTCTGATGTTTTCTAAATTATCAGAAAGTTAAACTAATGAAGGAAAACATCACTTGGCCCAAATATAATCCTTTTCAAATATTTTTGAAAATAAGTACAATTAGTCTAAATTCTAAGGTTCAATAGGTATTGCCCACCTTAAATATCACCAGTGCCACAAAGATGGAAGTCTTAACTGCATTAGAAAGCAGAAATATTGGAATGCATTCTGTATAACAAACTAATCAAGTAACTCACCTAAGTTCTCATTATTGTTCTCATTATTGACAACAGTCTCACTTGGGCCCTCTTCTGAAGGAATGAGCAATGCTTGACGTAACTTTTTCCTGACAGCGTAATACTTGGTGCGAAGTCTGCCTAGCACAGTACTCTTCTTGTTCTTGGTAACTGGCAGGTACCATGTGTCCTACAGGAATAAAGGCATTTGTTAGTACACTGAATAACCCAGTTACATCATTACAATAACAATCAATCAATTTACCTTAGTCTCTGAACGGAATAGTTCACAAATAGCATCTGAAATGGTATCGAAGTCATCACGTTCAAGTCTAAAGAACAAAAAAATAAAACAGACTCTTAAAAATGTCACTCTAAAGTTTAAAACCAAAACAAAACCACTGAGAAATAAAAGCTTACGATTTGTTGTAGTCACTTCCAAGTTCTATGTAAATAACTTGTTGACACAAAATATCTCTACAATGGTCATCCAACCTTTTCTGGGCTCTATAGAAACCAAGAACAAGCAATCCAGGCATAGATTGTTTCAAACTTTTATGAAGTTCCTAAAGCAAACCAAAATGAGAATAAATTAAGGATCACTCGTGTAGGTTATGTGATCACACTTTACACACATATTGCCAAACTAACTTACATTGACATCAGGAACATCTAATATCGATTGAAGTGTCGCATTGTCCAATCTCCGTCTCTTGCGCTGGTTGAACAAGCCGGCATCATCATCTTCACCATCACCATCACTTGCATCACTGTTTACACCCTCATTCTCCACGGTATTATTTTTCTCCTGTTAATCAAAACATTGATATTAAAAAAAAAAAACAGATTCTATATATGAAACCAAACCTCACCAGCACCAGCAGTACTACTCACTTTATGAAATTTCTCCCAATGATGTAAGAATTGAGACTTGGGACCTTCTTTTGGAATGAGCTTGTCAACTAGCTCGACTACTCTGACTTTGGACAAGAAGCCCAACTGTTCAACACTAACATCTTGTTCTGAAACAAATCAAACATAGGAAACATACAGTGACAAAGGCGCACTGAGCACAAAGGTTGATGAAATATTACAACCTACAAGTACCAAGGGTAGAGGACAGCAACAAGAAGTTCCACGAACTTCGTATAAACTTAACCTT